ATCCCTAACATTCTGGGATTCTGTGATTCTGGTCTGCTCGCAGCATTTGTGGTTGATGACATAGAGTCCATCTTTGAGGAGCATCGAATCTGCAGCAGCATCAACCTCTGCCAGATCCTACAGACAGTGCAAGACAAGGGCCTGTTCGTCACGGATGAGAACAAGTTCATCTTCACCAGTGTTCTGGTTGGGCACAAGGCCGCAGCTCGCTTCAAGATCCGCAATGTGGACAAAGTCCCCTGTGATGTGGTCTTCTCCATCAAACCCATCCCTGGTAGTAAGGTAAGGACGAGGAGCTGTGGTGAGTGTCACTGGTTGAAGGCTGTGTGGTGGCCTGCCTTGTTCTCCAGATTCTTTGCTTCCCCTCGCCCAGATCAGTCCAGCTCAGTGCAGGTGAAACGAAGGGGAGAGCAGGAACGCCAGGGTGACGGCTGGGTTGAATTCAGTGTGTCTCAAGCAAGGTTTTGGCTCAGCTCTCTGGGTCTGTGGTGGGAGACCTCAGCCCGTCTGAATGTCTCTTGGAAATACACTCAGAGGGGGCTTTTCTGCTGGACTGTTGTGCTTGGGCTCAAAGCAGACCATTTCCTTGGGCTCTCTGGTCTTTTCCTTATCTTTAAAGGCCAAATCTAGATTATTTGCAGGGTTTTCCATGCAGTCCCCACCTCCCATGTGTGCTGGGGTGCTTTTCCCGCACTCAGAGCGAGCTTTTGCACTCCTGGGCTTTATGGGAGCTCCCTGTGCACAATCAGCACCGCTTTGGAGCCCACCCCCTGAGGTGGAAGGAGCCTGTCCAGGGAAGCAGGAGAGGAGATGCTGTCTGGGGCTGTTCCCCATGATACGTACATGAATGAGACTGCGTCATGTTGAAGCATGTTTTCTTGGGTTCCTCCAAGCTTAACAGCCGCATTAGCGAAGTTTTCAAGGTGGATCCTGTTCGGATGTGCGTGCCCAGCTGCTCCCACGCCTTTGCTACGGTGACCTTCACTCCGCAAGCGATGCAGAACTACCAGTGCACTTTTGAGGCTTCCCTTGATGTCCAGACAAGGTAACACCCTGGGAAAGCTTGGAGGGCACCTTTCCGATTGCTGCCTGTCCTCTGGGAGCACGGAGACCTCTCATTAAATCTTTTATTAGCCCCAGGTAGAGTGCTTAGCATTAGATAATATAGGGAGCAGTAACTACTTGATATAGCAGAGCAGAAGTGTCGTATTTTAGCCTACAAGAGTGACTGTGAGGACAGCGTAATATTGCATGGCCAACAGGACGTTACTGAACCAGAAAGAAATGGAGATGTGCAACAGCTGAGCTGGGGCTTTCCAAGGACAAAGAATTAATGAAGCGGTCTCGGTGCCAGCAAGTCAGCCTGCGTTACGTCCTCCTTGTTTGTGTTAAAATGAGATGATCCTGTGCGATTACCTGGGGTATGTTAGGATATTTTATGTGAAAGAGGAGCCCAGCTCCTCTGTCCTGGAGCCTGTGTTTGTACCGAGGCTCTGACCTGCTCTTCCCCAACCCTGTAGTCGCTAAATTTGGACAAGATAAGTCAGCTTTCTGCCCTAATAAGCAATTCCTGGTTTAGTGTCCTTGGAAATAATCTTTACTGATGGTGTTATTTATTTACTTCTCCCTTCTTGCTTTTATACTGTTTTCATGCTGTGCTTGTGCTTTTTGCATATGTCTCCTATCACTGCAGCCAGTGAATTTGCCGTGCCTCATCTGCTGCCTCATTATTTGCCTGCTGTTCCTCATGATGCAGTGAAGTGAAATGATTTGTAACTTGCTCTGGAGGGCTCTGACTCTTCAGAGCAGATTCCTCTTGTGAATAGCCCTGACCTGGCTGGGAGGAGAGGGGCGAGGGGGAGCTGTGTTGGGGGGTACAGGAGCACCAGCCAGGGAAAACACAGTGGGTAGCGCTCATTGCATTGCGTGCCAAGGGGAATGGGTCGGTAGCAGCCCTCATGGTTTCTCCTCTGCCTCTCGTGCAGCCCTGCAGCAATTCACGCACAGAGCCTGGCTTTCGACATCAGCGGAGACGGGAATCTGCCTCAGGTGACGGTCCTGCGCCCGGCCCTTCGCAGCAGGAGAGGGACCCCTCTGCTCCTCTTCAGGAAGCTGCTGCTGGGTGATTCGGAAAAACTCCCTCTGGTCCTTCATAACGGTGGCATCGTCCCTGTCCAGGTGAGGACCTGCTCAGGGAGTGCTCTGGGCTGGGAACCTGTGCTTGCCCCATGGAGGAAAGGTCCCAGCAAACAAGGGAGAGGTGCACACTACACACGCAACTGAAAATCAAATGGAATTCTGTCCTCTGTGCTCAGAGCCACTCTGTCTCAAGGACAATAACTGATTTTGTGACCAGTCTGTCCTTTTCAGTTACACAACACAAGAAAATGGTATTTTTCCCCCTCTCTTCTCACTTTTTGGTTCTCACGTGGGAAGTCTTAGTTACACTGAATTGTATTTGATCACATCTTACTACATTTTAATTAAACTTAATTGTAGTTTAATTACATCCTGCTCATTACTTGTAGTACTTTATGTCCTGTTTCATTATATTTTAATTATACCTCAATGCCTCTGAACGCTTTTTCCACCTGATTTTTCTTAAACTTTGTGCTAAGAGCTGTGTTTGAAGTGGGGAAGCGTGGCGAGTTCCCCACGCTGGACCAGCAGCAGTACCGTGTTGATCCTCACGCCGTCCTGTACCCATAGCAGTGAGGTTGTGCTCTGTGTTCCCTTTTCTCAGTTGATGATAGACCTGTTGGATGAAGGGGGAGTTTTCTTCTTGCAAGCCAAGCCCACCACACACTGCATCTACCAAGCTGCGGGCATGGAGGGGAACTCTTCTGGAGAAGGTAAATTCATTAACCATGAAGTGTGGTCATCCGCACAGGGAAAATGAGTGCCCTGTTCTTGGCCAAGCAGCAGGCAGATGTTAGATACCATTTCTTTACTGGGGCTCTCTGTTCTGTATGTGGACTCTGCAGAGTTTCCTCCGCAAGTTGTAGGAAGCGTTTCTGTGGGCGGGTTGAGTTGTGGGGAACTATGACCACTTTGATGGCCTGTCTGAGGTCTCTGCCCCATGTGGGGAGTTAGCAGCCTGAGCAGAGGCAGCCCTTGAGCCCACAGCCAGCCAGCAGAAGCCAGAATCACTCTTTGACTCAGCTTTATGTATGGCAGGAGCTGGCTGGATGCAGTTTGAGTGAGAGCTGGGCATTAAACTGAGGTTGAGATGTTTAAGCAATGATATACTTAGTCTAAAGCCATTGGTGGGACAACCTGTGCTTAGAGACAGCTGGGTATCAACCTCTTACTCCTCTTACACCTCATGGAAATATTTTGGCTGTCTCGTCTCTGTGCAGGGAGAAAGCCCCACACCGCTTCCCTGGTCCTGCATCACAAGGAATCAGCAGAGTTTGATGTGCTTTTCAAACCCACCCTGGCCCAACGTGTGGAAGGGAAGATCCGCCTGTCAGTGGTGGACAACCCCTATGAAGAGACCAATATTCAGCTGGTGGGTGAAGGCTACAAGGATGACTTCACGCTAGATAACATCCGTGGACTGGTGGCAGACAGCAAGGAGGAGGACGCTGAGGGTGATCTGGAGGAGGACACAGTTGAGGGTAAGAGAGGAGAGGCTGCCAAGATGGAGCAAGGAGTAGGAAGATCCTAATTTCTGCTCACCTTGTGGCAGTGCAGGTGTGGTCCAGCCTTAGAGGACAGATCCTGTTGCCTTTTATAACCTGCGGAGCAGCCACACTTGAGAACACAAGGGAAGATCCCTCTGTCAAAGGAGAGGCTAGCAGGGAAGGGTCAGGGAAGGTTTAAAAGGAGGTTTGCCAGCCCATGGTGTACTATGGAGACCATGTGTGATCGTTTGTCATCTCTATAACCAGGCCCATGCTGTTGCCTACCAGACCTGGCGGTCTGTGAGCATCCTAGCCACGTGCACAGAGGCAGCACGTGCTGTGCTGCACATCCCTCTGCACAGCCACAGCCACGTGTTTAGGGATGTACGAGGCTGTGTCTCTGGAAGCAGTAGGATGGGGACCTGCATGCCCATTGGAAGGCTTGGAGTAAGGAAGGGTTGGACATGCGTGTGTCTGTGCATGTCGGGGGCGGATGGACCTCACCGCACACTGAGATCTCCTGCTGTCATTCCTTACAGCTATCAGAGTGGATCACATCCAGTTTGGGGACTGTCACATCGGGACACCCTACCCTGTGAAATTCACCATCACCAATCGCAGCAGCGTGGATGCGATGCGGTTCGAGTGGCTGGCAGAGTCCCCGTTTCACTTCTCCCCGCAGGTGAGCTTGGATGGCTCTGCCTTTCCCTGCTGCTCACAGCCTGCCCAGCAGGTTCCCAGGAGCCAGCAGCGAGTCACCACGTAATGGTCAGAGCCTGTTTCAGTGCCACACAGGAGATGTGGTCCTTGGCTTTGCTGGGTCAGGGCTGTCAGTCCTGCAGAAAAGGCTCTGTGTTATGAGAGGTTATGAGAGGTACCTTTTGTTTGTGCTTTTCTCTATCAAAACTCACAGAAATATGAGAACTCAATAAGAAACTCACATTCCCACATGAGAACCCAATAAGATGCAGATTCCTGGTACAGCTGCTCACTGCATCGCTTCCTTTGCTGTCAGTCCTGCCCTTACCAGTGATTCCAGTTTGGCCTTGGCTCTCTGGTTCTCCCTAGGTGGGACACCTCCATGCTGGCTGTGCTAAGGACATCACAGTGACTTTGAAATCGGATGTCGCAGTTGCCTTCAAAATGCACCCTGTGAAGTGCAGGGTGGCTAGGATCGCCTTCCAGCTGCCTCCAGAGCAGGTCACCGACTGGGACGACTGCCTGCGCACTGTCACGTGGGTGGACACAACGAGGGACCCAGCAGCGAAGTGGCCTGCCAAGAAGAAGGTAAGAAGCACAGCAGCAAAAGCTAATGGAGCTCCCACAGAAAGCGGCAGCAAACTGCCATCTCTGCTGGCAAAGCAGCTCCTGCTTCCTCCTGACATTCAATCCACCCCTGAGGTTAACCAGCAGTGCATTTTAGGGGAGATGTGGGTGCACGGTGACCTGGCGTGCTCACACAAGATGGGGAAGTCTTTTTGACAAGAGACGTTTAGCCACACGCAAACTGTTGGTCTCTGCCAAAAGCTGAAGTGTTGCAGCCTGTGTTGAATGGAAGATCACGTTGTATGATAACACATTTTGTGGTGGTAAAATCTCTTATCTCATTCAATGCCTTTTCACCAACAAAGAGTTAAATCCCCTGTGCTCTGTCTCTTGTTTTGAAGTGGAGAGCACCACGAGCGCTCTTCTGTGTGCACTGTCTAGCCCACTGACACGTCGTGGGTGAGCTCTGAGCTCTGTCTACACTGACACCAGGTATTTTGGTTGTGGTCTCTATTATCATGTGGGATACCTCGTTATGGAGCATCCCAGGTACTGCATGGCAGTGATGCGGGAGTCTGGAGAAGTATCAACTCCAGAAACTCTTGCTTTTACTGTCATTATTGCCAAACGCACTCACCTTGGGCAATGGTTCTTCCCTAGTTTCTGAGCCAGTGTAAGACCTGCAAACCAAACTTCTTCCCCATCAGAGCATCAGCACTCAGGGACTTTCCTAGTGAGTTCATTTCCATCCAAAAACGCTCATCCCCAGCCCCCGCCAGCATGGCTGTTGCCCCACACAAGACATCTAGAAGGCACTTTCTCCTCAGACGAGAAAGAAAAGGCACTTTCTAGGTTTGATCATTCTTGGGGTTCTCCATCCACAGAGCTCCAGCAGGGGAACTTAATCCTAATTTAGGGGCCTGTTGGATTTATAGGGGGCTGAGAGTAAGGTCAGACACTACAGGGTTGAAACACCGGGGCTGATACCTGGTCATAGTCCCTACGGGTGTATTAGCAGTAGTGGTGGTGACTCCTTTGGTAAGTGGGTAGAAACCAACACTGTAGCGGAAGGGTCAGGTTTTGCATCTTTCCAGGCAAATAGGTGCAAATGGGTCCTTCCAAGCCCCTGTGTGTGGCTGATTTTGCGGGCCCAAAGGACGCTCTACTCAGTGATTCTTCCCTCTCCTGTTTGGAGGTGATCGAGACAGAACCAGAACCGGCTCACACCGTCCTGGAGAAGAGCGGCCGCGAGGTAGAGCTTCGCCTCAGCGCCATCGTTGACTATGCCGAGTTCAAGCTGGACACGGACGTGATTCAGTTCAAGGAGACCTTGCTCTTCCAGACGAGGACGTTCACGTGAGTGCTGGAGCCCAGGCAGGGACCTGTGAGTGGGAGCTGCCTTTGCCCAAGGTTTCACTCAGTGTCTGCTTCCCCAGAGCCACACTGTGCTCTCCAGTGGCCTCTGCTTTTCCTTCTGCTCATGATCCTGGGCTAACAAAGGTTACACTGGCACATTTATTGCTTGGCCACTTAATAAACCTCTTCTAATTTCTAACTGATCAGCCTTGGAGGGGGATGCTGCTGCTTTCTGAGTGTGAAGTTGCCACTTCCGCGTATCCTCTGGCACACGTGGACCTTTCTAGGGCTTTACGTTCAGTCTCACCTGCTGATTGTCCCTTTAAACAAATCATTTACTGTTTCATCCTGTCCCAGTCCTGGCTGAGTGCTGAGGCCGTGTATCTGCACACAAAGCCAGGCAGGAGATGGTTGCTGCTATCCTGCCACGACGTGCCCAGAGAGGTTTGAAACTGCTGTGCCTTTCTGCTGAGAGCAGTCATGGTTTTGGTTTCATTGCCTGTTGCCTGTCCTCAAGGACAAATCTGCAGCCAAAATAAACCGAATCAAACTGAGACATAAGACCAGAACAAGCCCTTTGGATTAAGTCTTGCAGGCACCACGTCTGCCCTGTCCTCTTTAACTTCCAAACTTTGAAATACGTTTTCTTGGGGCAACACAGGGCAGTGATCTCGGCATGGCAGAGTTGTCTGGGGAGGAAGATGCTACTCAGCATAAAGAAAGGGGTGCCAGGAGCCCACCGAAAAGTGTTGCTTTTACTTGCTTTGTATATATTGGACTTTTTTTGTTTTCTCCTCCTTGGTTTTCAGTTTCCAGCTGTCCAATAGCGGGAACGTGGCCCTGGAATACACCTGGATGACAGCTGTGGAGGATGAAAGGGCAGAAACCCCTTTCATCCTGGCTGGGAAGCAGCTCCTACCTAGCCAGAATGGTGAGGCACTGGCTCTGTGTGGTACCTGGGGGTCCCCGGGGTGTTTCAGTCAGTAGCTGCAGGCTTGGGGAGAAGACCATGCCACTTCACCCCAAAATATGAATTCCTTTTTCATCCCTGTCCAGTCCTCCACTTTCATCAGCATCTTCCTGGCTGCAGCTGGAGACCTTCTCCTTGCCCCCTCTCTGCCTTTCAGACCCTCCTGTGCTTGCTCTGACACTTTTCTCTGCATGGGAGCTGAGCCTGGCTCAGGGGAGAGCCACATGGTTGGTCAAAACTGAGCCCCTTTTTGGGAAGCCTCCGAGACTGGGAAGGTTGATGGTGTAACAACGAGGTAGCTGACCTGCAGCCACCGTCTGTGTGCAGTTCCCCAGTCCAGAGCCAATGCACAGGCACTGCCTAAAATTACCTCTCCTAACTCGCGCACAGGAGTGTTTGCTGCAGAGAGACCCTGCTCACAGTGGCCATTGGAGCTCAACGGTGGGGCTGTGCCTCAGCAACCTGCAGGGATGCTGTTGTGTCTGAGCATGTGGCCTCCTTGGGAGCAGCACAGTTCTGCAAGGAAGCGGGGCTGTGTGTCCAAGAGGTCTCATCAGGAGCAGGAGTGAGGAGAGCTGTCAACCCTTGCGTTTCCCTGCACAGGCAGCTTGCCTGGTGGTCGAGACAAGGCCTCAACCAAAGTCCTTGACACGGTGCTTAAATCTCTCCCCTGTGGGTCCTGGTGTTGGCTCTTCCCTGGAACAGGGCATAGTCATGCTGAAACCAGTCTGCTGGGCTGTGCCATTAGCTGTCTGGTCGTTGTTATGAAAGCCTGACAAAGAGGAAGGAAGGAAAGGGCGTGAAGGACAGAGCGGCGCTGTTCCCCTAAGCCCTCTCTCCACCATGCACAACAAGCAAAATTCAGTTCCACAGGTCACAGGGGATCAGGACTTAGCTCTGTCCTTACTGCCAAGTGCTGAGGTCGGCTGTACTGGGTTGGAAAACAGTGCCCAGAAATTCTCCCAGATGCTGTAACAGAGACATCTCTACTGTTAGTTCCTGTGTGTGGTTTGGGAATGAACGCTGGCCAGAAACCAGTCTGCGGGAGAAGTTTGCATCTAAGCTGCCCAGTCCTGGAGATGGAGAGGGTTTAAGAGCATGGAGGGAAGTGGCTGGCTCTGGTTCTGGGCCCATTTAATTTGCTGACAGGCATAGCCCTCCTGACCGTCATCTGAGCCTCTCGCGCAGCGATGTTCAGTGGTGTGTTTTGGTTCAAGCCGTTGTCTGGGTCTCCACTGGGCCTTTTCACTGTATTTGCTGTCCCCCACCCTCAGTTCTCCCTCCTGTCCTCACTTTCACACCTGTCCCCATGGCTTTCTGGGATTAGGATTTAGCAAGCAGTAACACAGAAGCAAAAAGCAACCTGGCTGCTCCCCCTGTTCCTCTTGATGGGGAGAAAAATTGGCCAGGGACGCTGCACATGCATGCCAGCTCCCTTCTGTCCACCTGCAGCAGGAGGCAGAGGTGCTGGGAGCAGAGGATTTTCTCCTTGCAAGATGTGCTGCTATCATCTCTTTCTTACTGCAGAGTGCTCCTTCTCCCCCACTTCTGGTGCCTTTGTGAAGACGCAGCCTAGAGAGGTGGGCCACGCTCTGGAGCGGGTCCCTTCCTCCCAGAGCTCTTCTCTGAACATCATCAGTGTCACCCCGCTGTTCTCCATCGAGCCCTGCAGTGGCACCATCCCTGCCAGCCAGGAGCAGCTCTTCCAGATGAAGTTCTCTCCGGTGTACGTGGGAGACTTTGAGAGCCGTATGCTCTGCAGGTAGGAAATGTCCAGGCGCTTTTCAACTCATGCTGCTGATGGACAGTTGTGGTAATACCTCTGGTTGGGGTGGGTGGGAGTGCAGACCTGAGGCAGCCCCAGAGAGGCAGCAGAAACAACCAACACACAGAAGCAAGGAAAGATGATCATCCAGCCTTGGTAGAAATCAGCATGGAGACACTGGGAAAAGACACTGTGTGAAATATTAAGCCCCTGGAGGGTTGCAAAATCTGAAATGAGAGATCCAGAAAGGCTGTTGAGGGGCCAGCCAGCCCCTAGCTATGCTTTCTCATCAGACAAGCACGGTCTCTTTATGTACATAGAAACCTGAGTGGTCTCTATACACATAAGTTGTCATGTTTCTGCCGTTTCACTTCCACTGCCTCTCTGGCGGGGAGTGCAATTCTGTTTGATTTGGTGCTCAGGGCTTGCACGGAGGGAGCATGCAACCCCTGTGTGCTGTACAAGGAGACAGACAAGCAGCTGGCTGGATGGACATGTTAGTCTGGCTGATACCAGTCCCTTTCTTTCCAGTATCCCTAACCTGGGGCCAAATCAGAAGGGCCCAGAGGTGGTTGTGAAGGGGAGAAGCCTGATGCCAACCTGCCACTTTGAGCTGGAAGACTCAGACTACATCACTGCAAACAGGCGCCGCTCAGAGCTGCAGGGACCAAAGGGGATGTCGTTAGATTTCAACACAAGAGTGGTGGAGTTTGCGGCAGTTGGAGTGTGCGGCAGGAACAGCAGGTAGGTGTGGGCATGGCTTCTCCTGTCCATGGTCTCCTAGTCACCCCCCTTAACCAGAGACCTCTCCAGCCACTCTTCCAAGCCCCAGCTGTACCCTGTCTGTGATGTGCTGACACTTGGCCACCAGCCTGTTCTGGGGCTGGAACAAGCTGGTCACTGAAGACCAACTGGCTTTTTTTGTTCTCCCTGTCCCTTTCTTCAATAAGGCGTGGGTCAGTCTGGGAGGACCATGTATCCCCAGCCAGTGCAATGTAGCCAGTACCACCTTTGTCTCTTTAGAGCATCCTTGGGACATTCTTGCCTCTTTGAGATGCCAATCAGACAGGGTCAGTGAAGGCTGCAACCACAACAGAGAGTACCACCTTCCCAAGGAGCCTTACTAGATTTGATTTTACCATTTTCACTTGATCTTACCATTTTAACATGCAAGAGTTCGGTTACATCCTTGCTAATTTCTTTGTCGTTGATCTATAGCCACTTGGGAAACAAAGAGGGCCCCTAGAGAGCAGGTGAAATGTTTACACTCCCAGTGTCGTTCCACTGTACCAAATAACTCATTTCAGATGATGTCCAGGACTGGCAGGGCCTGATATCTGCTGCAGGATAGAGTCATTAACATCCCAGGGTCACCTTAGTTGTCCTTTTTGCTTTGTGTGCCCAGGACCTTCATGGTTGTGAACCCAACCAGTTCTGCATATTCCTTCCAGTGGACTTGCCAAGACCCCGAAGCCCCACCAGAGCAGGTGGCTTTCTTCTGCCTCACTGAGAGAGGGCAGATCCAGCCAGGGAAGAAAGCAGAGGTGAGTGCAGAAAATTAAGAAGGTAGATGCAGTACACACATACACCAGTTTAACACTGGCTATTTCTGCGTGTACTGGGTGTCCCATCTCACGGTGAGCTTGCCAGGACCGTGAAGAAACCTTTGACTGCTGTGTAAATGAACTGGTAGATGAACCTGTTCTCACCCTGTGCCCCACATCTGCCGTGCTTTTGGGCTCCAAATGGCACAGCAGCGCATCTCTGAGCTCACAGCAGCATAAAGTGGAGGTTCCTGGGGTTTTTTGGTGATACAGACTGCTCCCCCTCCCCTTACCCTACCAAGGGCAGCAGCTTTCATTCATTTGCCTCTTTCTCCCACAGGTGAAGTTTGAATTCACCCCCCGGCACCTGGACATCACAGAATCATTCTGGGTCTTTACAATCCCTGAGCAGAGCATTTCAATCCCGTTCCTCTTGGTGGGCAACACCACCGAACCGCTAGTGACTCTGGACAGATCCTACCTGAACCTCCACTTGCTGTTAATCGGTGAGCGCTGTGGTTATCTTACACTCCATGGCCAGCACTCCCATCATTCCAGCAGGCTCCCGTGAGGAAGCTGGAAATGGAAACAGGCATTTGTGAGCAGATCATCCAGCTCCTGGCTCTCAGGCGTATGAGGGAGAGGAAGGGGAAGGGAGGAAGGCACACGTCAGGGTCATGGCACGTGGTTGAGTCTGTTTCCAAGAGGAGATCTGGGGGTGACCCAGGGGAGCCCGAGGGGTCAGAAGTACATTTCCATGTCGGCATCCTGAACGTACTGTGCTGCAGGCAATGCCCCTCGCTGCAGATTGCCTGCTGGGCTCGGTGGCAGTGGTGGTCTGGTGGCCAGAGGAACACAAGGTTTTCAGCAGCTGCTTTGTCCTCTCCCCAGGGCACAAAGTGCACCACACTATCTATATGATCAACAATGAGAAGGAAGCCTTCAGCTTTGCTTTCAGAGAGAGCACTCTCTTCTCAGAGGGATGCAATGCCTCCATGAAAATAGAGCCCCTGAAAGGCTCCATCGCTCCTCTTTCAAGGTAACAGGGCTCACAGTCCATATTCCCTCTCCCGTGTGCCAGACACAGCAGTGTCATTTTGCTTTTGAGACTCCCACCAGGGCTTGCTCCATAGTGGAAGGTCCTGGAAGGGCAGAGTGCTGTTCCTGGTTTCTCCAAGGCCTGGGGTCTCACCACAGCCATTGCACAGCTGCCCTCCCCTAGAGTGGGCAAGGTGGGACCAAGAAAGCTGAGACAGTGAATGGAGCAAAGTCTTCTCTTCTCAGGTTTCCCATTACAGTCAGCTTTACACCAACACTAGAAGGAGAGGTGGTCTTCAAACTCAAATGTGATGTCAAGAGGAAGACTCAGCCTCTCTTGTTGAATATCAAGGCCACCGGGTACAGCATGAACGTGTCTGTCAAGTGTGAGGACAGTGACGGCTGTGCCACTGAGCTCGGTGCACAAAAGGTCAACGTCATTGATTTCAAGGAGGTGAGCAGTGCTGGTTCCCTGAGCCATTTGGCCCACAGAGCCCTGCAAGATTGGGCCTGAACCAGGAGCTTTGAGGTTATATTTGAACAAGAGGGAATGTTTTTCTTCATTTATGGGTACAGTCAGGTCCCTAGAGGGAGCGAGGTTGATCTTTCTCACAGGCAAGATGCGAGAATGTGAATGTGAAAGATGCAAGAGCGTATTACTGTGTCCAGTTCTGAGCCCCTCAGTTCAAGAAGGACAGGAACTGCTTGAAAGAGTCCAGCAGGGCCACAGAGATGCTGGAGGGAGTGGAGCATCTCCTGCTGAGGAGCGGCTGAGGGAGCTGGGGCTCTTGAGCTTGGAGCAGAGGAGCCTGAGGGGTGCCCTCATTCCTGGGGATCCATTGGGAAAGGGCAGTGTCAGGAGGAAGGAGCCAGGCTCTGCTCTGGGATGGCCAATGCCAGGACAAGGGGCAGTGGTCCCAAGCTGGAGCACAGGAGGTTCAAGCTGAAGATGAGGAGAAACTTTGTGAGTGTGAGGGTGGCAGAGCATGGCCCAGGCTGCCCAGAGAGGTTGTGGAGTCTCCTTGTGTGGAGACACCCAAAGCCCTGGCCGTGTTCCTGTGTGACTGCTCTGGTGATCCTGCTCTGGCAGGGGTTGCACTGGGGGAGCTTTCCAGGGCCCTTCCAACTCCTGATATTCTGTGATTCAGTGATTACGAAGGAGCCCTTGGTGGGCCAGCCAGCACCTTGCATGTGCTCAAACCCCTCGTCCTCCTCACCTTCTCCCCACAGGTACACCTGAACGAGATCATCACACGCACCTTCACTATCTGCAATAATGGCAAGTTCAGCTTCACCTTCTCGTGGGAGCTGAGTGGCCCCGCAGCCCGTAAGCAGCTCCTCACCATTACCCCTCAGAGGGGCAGCGTGCAGGCAGAGACAAAAGCAGAGACCCAGCTGATTTTTCACTCACAGAAGATGTGCTCTTTAAAGGGTGTAGAGCTGACACTGCAGGTGAGGCACCAGTGTTTAATACGGGACCTTCGCCTTCCCTACGCAGCGGCTTGGCAGCAGGAGCCCAGAGCCAGGGGTGAGCTCTGTCACTAAAGAGCCTGAAGGAGGCAAAGAGGCTCCTGCTGCTGAACTGAGGAGCCTGAAAGCTTCTGAATGGAGTATTTTAATAAGTGCTTATCCAGGGCTGCTTTGGGAAGCACTTCTGTGGCAGGACATAACCTCCAGCCCCTCTCTGCACTGAATTTGCAGGGAGGTGCCTAGATGTGTACAGGGATGGAGCTTTTTCTGCTTGCCAGGCCCTTGCTGAGTCAGGTCCCACGGAAAGGGGACCTGGGAAAAACTCTTGCCAGCATATGGCTATGTAAAGCAGGTCCATGCCTCTCCAAAAACCCTTTTCCTCTCGGACTCTGACTCTCCAAAGACCCTTCCCCTCTCAGCCCATTCTGTTTCCATTCTGGGGTCCATTGTCACCTGCTTTTCCTTATTGTCACTGCAGCCAGCTGTCCCCCATCCTCTTCCTCAGCTGTCTCTGGTGTTTGCAGTTGTAGTTCCCATCTCTTCAGCTGACTCACGCTGTCTTTCTCCTCACCAGATCAGCAAGGGTCCCACCTTTACCTGCACATTCCTGGCCACCTTGGTAGTGCCCACTCTTCACTTCTCTACCACCAAACTCAACTTTGGAGCCTGCTTCATCTACCACACCGGGATGACACCTGCCCAGCAGACCCTTGTCATCACAAACAAGGCAGACAAGGATGTCAGGTAGGTCGTCTCCACATGCTCCTTCATCCTTTGCTTAGCACGTGCCTGCTTCATGTCCTCATGACCCCTGTGGGCGAGATCCTGGGGATACAGGGAGAGGGGACAGAACAGCCTTAAGCAGCCCTGATGTTGTCATCTGAGCACTCACAGCCTTGTCACACCTCTACTTCTCTTTGCTGTGCTTTTTGCCAGCTTGAACTGCTTGTTCACCAACACCACGCACCTGGAGGTGGACTTCAGAGGGGGCATCCTACACCCAGGAGGGACAGTGGAGGTGCCAATCATTTTCTGTCCCAGAGAGGTTGCGTCTTACCATGAGCTCGTGCCTTTTGAAATCAACGGTCTTTGCCAGCAGACTGTTGAGGTCCAAGGAAGGGGCATAGAAATGAAGGTGAGGTGGAATCTAAATCCTAACAGTTGAGGTGGCAGCCAGGCAGCGTGGCTTTCTCTCTCATTTTCCTCATCTCTCTTCCCCAGCCTACCATGTTTCGCTTTTCTGCTACAAGGGTTGCAGAAAATCTTTTGTCCTTGTTTCCTTTCACTTGATAGTAATTCCTTCTGCCTCAGGTTGACGTTGTGGAACCACAGGGAAAGGTGGTGAAGCTGGGAGCCCTCTCCATCGGACAGACAGTGAAGAAAACTGTCACCATAGCAAACAACAGTGTTGCCCCTCTCACTTTTAAGCTCAGTCTCATGTCCACCACACCAGAACTGCAAGAAGCTGGGGTAAGGCTGCTTCCTTCTCTGGAGAACACTTTGTTGTGCCTGCAGGTAGCTATGAGCTGCTCTGGACAGGAGCTAGTAGCTAATTACAGTTGTGTGCCACACTGGCTGCCTGTCTGCTGTCCTGTCCGCCCTGCTGGGACTGCTCTACCAGCAGATGCTTGCAATGTGAATTCCTCATCAGAGCCAGGGGTCAGGACTCCCCTAGCAGCCAGAAGTGAGAAGAAGGTACAATTCCTCTCACTTGTTGTAGACACATACGTTAGGATGTGGCCATGGATATTAGATATGGAAAGGTAATCTTTAAAGACCAAGAGTTACAGCTCTCTTGGAGCTCATGTGAAATGGCTTTTGGAAGATGTAGTCCAGCTCACCATGGCCAGATGGACACATCACAGAAAAATAGCTTTGGTACCTAGGGATGTGTACAGGGAATGAGTAGGGTCAAGGCAATGTGGATGGGGACAAAGCAGGGATTGGAAGGCTCTATGGAGGATTCACAGCTCAGTTGCTAGATTAAATAATCTCCACTCATTTCTTTGGGCAGGTTCTCTGCTTGAACCCCACCAGTGAACTGAGTCTGAAGCCCAAAGGAGATACCTGTAAAGTGGAGGTGACCTTCTCCCCGAAGTGCCGCATCCAGCCGTTCACCGCAGAAGTGATGTTGGAGTGCGACAGCCTGGTGCGCTTGCTCTTCGTGGTGCAGGGCTCCTGTCAGGGTGTCCGTGTCAGCTTGGACCACGAACACCTCAGCTTTGGGGCAGTGGTGCAGCAGAGCTACACATCCCAGCGCATCATCATGCAGAACACGGGCGACATTGGAGTCAAGTAAGGCAAAAATCTGTCCTCTTTGAGGCTGGGAGCTTGGGTGAGGGTTGGATGGAGTTGTGGCTTGCCCAGATAGTTCCCCATTGCTTTTCCATCCCAGTGGAGAGTTGTGCTGTCAGACCCTGGAAGTTAGCGAGGGATACAACCAAAAGCTTGTTTACAGATGGGTGCAGCCGAGTCCTTCCTAACCTGAAGTCTTATTGCTGGACATCTCAGCACCATGCCTGAGATCCTGTAGAAAAGCCCACAAGGGCTTAGGAAGAGCACACTGTGTTTACAGCCTCCCAGTTTCTAATCCTTCCTTCCTGTCCTTGTGCTTTCCTTGGCAAGGTTTAAGTGGGACATCAAGAGCTTCAAGCCAGATTTCTCCATCAGCCCTGCAAAGGGTTACATCTCCCCAGGAATGGATGTCCCCTTCACTGTGACTTTCCACCCCTCTAAGCTGAGCCATGCTATCCAGTACGAGGACCTGCAATGCTCCATCCAGGGCAGTGAGCCGCTCCGGCTCACGCTGACAGGATGCTGCATGGAGACCCCTGAGATCAAAGAGGTAACCGGGGCAGGACAGGATGGGTCTCCTCCTTACCCCATTTGTACCTCATCTCTCCCAGGGGAGGGGATGGAGATCATAGAGCATAGACTCATTCCTGCCTGGGTACACCAGAGAGCTGAGAAAACCCCTGGGTGGGATTCCCAAAATGTTTGAGCCCTGTTATTGCCTTCCTCCTCCCCTATTAGAGGTGCTGCTCCTCCAGCAAGCACATTGGCAGTCCTGGCTCTGCATTGCAGCACCCTTGCCACGGGGACAACCTGCAGAGCTCTTCTGAGGCCCTCCCCACAGACTTCTCCCCACAACATTGCCCCACAGCCACAGTTTTCCCCCCTGTCAGGGCAAGAGAGGCATTTGGCACTAGGAACAGGCATTTGCATCCAGTGCCTGGGGCATGAGAATGCAGCATGGAGGACAGAGGTGTTGACTTTTGCTCCCAAAAGAGAGCTCAGAGCTGCTCTCCAGGCTGCCCGTAAAGGGGCCGTGCGCCTGCAGAAACTTGTCCTTGCACAGAAGAGATATCCTTCCAGGACTTCCCATTTTCTTTTTCCCCCTCTTTGGGAGCCAGTGGTCCCCTTCACCCAGCATGCAAAGACTCATTCCTCTCCCTTCTCCAAGAACTGGCAAACTGATTTACATCAAAAGCTATGGCTCAAATGTAACCTCTGCATATAATAAGGAGAAGCTGCTCCCTGTTTGTGGAGCTGGTCAGAGCCTGAGTGGGAAGCGTTCCTCGGTACAGCCAGGCAGCCTTCATGCTCCTCTGTTGCAGATACTGACTTTCGCTTGCAATGTGCGTGAGGAGCACAGCCAGATCATCCTCCTGTCCAACCTGAGCAATGAGGCCTGGACTGTGCGTCCAGTCATTAAGGGGAAACACTGGGAAGGCCCTGAATGTTTCCACCTAGAAGCCAATCAACAAAACAAGCCCTACAAGGTCACTTACAAACCCCTGACCATGACCTCTGAGGAGAATCATCATCAGGTACGTGAGCTGTGCCAGCATGCTGACCCTCACAGCGTGAGCCTCACAGCTCACCCTGCTTCGGGCACAAAGTTGGACAAGTTGAGCTTCAGAGGTCCCCCTCCAAGCTGAAATTGTCCAGTGATCCTGTGTTGGAAGCGAAAACCTCTGTGTTTTAGAGGTCAAGTGTAAGTAAAGTTCAGGTGTGAAGCGTGGGCTGACCACTAAACGTATTGGAGGAGCTAACCTAAAAAAACCAGGTTGTCTGAAGGTCCAGGAAATCAAATTTGTTCTTTGCAGCTTCTGGTCCCTGCCTGTGCAGCTCAGGGGAGCTCAGAGAGCCCCTGTGCTCAGCCCTCTGGGCTGCACAGGCTCCCCAGGCACCGCCAGCCCTCACCAGGGCTGTCCCTGCACAGGCACAGGGCTGGCAGCTGACGTGCCCAGGGTAGTGAGACAGATAAGGGGGTGCTGGGATGGTCAGACCAGCTCATGTGCAGGGCCGGTGTTTCCTTGCTATGCCCAGACGTGTTCCCTCTGAGTCCCTTGGCTGTGCAAGCCCCAGTGAGTGAGGTATTGCCGTGTGCTCCTGTGCAGGACACAGCTGTGGTCACACCTCTGCCAGCTGGACCTGCTCAAGGCAGTGCAGGTGACAGCCTGAGACATGGGACTGTCCAGACAGAGAGCAGGAGAGCTCACTTGTTCTATTACTTTCTTCTAGGGCTCCATCTTCTTTCCGTTGCCACATGGGACAGACTTGTACTACCTCCTGCAAGGTTCTGCTGAGACCCCAAAGTGTTCAGGGACCATTTTCCGGAAGGTACCATGTAGGACTCCCTACACTGAGGTCATCCCTGTCTCCAACTGGCTGAACAGGCCACAGAGGTGAGTCCAGCCCAGGAAGTCTTCTCCCATCAGCAATCCCTGCAGCAGCACAAGGAAGGGCTTCCCACTGCCTGGAAGCTCCTTCCTGTAAGCTTTTTGCTCTCCATGGCCAGTTCTGGCCATAGTTGTCTGGGGCTGCACAATAATCTACGGGAGCCCTTCCTGTTGATCTTCACTGTGCCCTTCTCACCCACAGGTTCCTTGTGATAGTGGACATACTCAAACCAGAAAACCTGGAGAGCAGTTCTGTGCTGCAGGGGCTGGAGTACATTGATGTGCCGAGCTCTGCCAGGAAGGACTACAAGCTCACGTTCCACTCCTACAAGGAAGGAGTCTTTAACACGATGGTAAGTGAGGACACCACAGGTTGTGAGGCCCCCCAAGCTGCTGCTTGCTCACTGAGAAGCTACTCACCTGCTTTCCTACCTCCACATGCCCTCTGGTGGGACTGTACGTGTCCCAGGTGGGTACTGAACAGCAGGCACCTCTCCACGCACCCCACTTACGTGTCAGCCTCTGTGAGGGTCCCACTGGGGCTGCTAAATGTAGGTGGGTCAGGACACTGGTGAACTGGAAGCAATGGGCTACTGGGAGAGTATGAAGTAGAAATACCACACGTGCCTTCCTCAGTCTCATACTCTTCCTCGGTGGCTGCTTACATTCTCGGCTGTAGGATGCTGAGCTGGGGAGCTCCTGTGGCTCACTTAGCACAGCTGGTATATTTTTGTGTGCAGAATGGCCAGCACTTCCCTTTTTTCTCTGATTCAGGTGACTTTCCTCAATGAGGTGACCAAGGAGTACTTGTTCTACATGGTGACTTTCAAGGCCACCACTCTGGGACCCATCAGCACTGTTGAAATGAGCACTGCTGTTCGACAGAGAGCATTATCCACCATTGAGGTGGACAACCCTCTGCCTGTCCCAGTTACATTTGCCATAGAATGCAAAGTGCCCGATATCAACGTTCCCTCACATTTCACTGTTCCTGCGGAGTCAGAGGTAGGAGCAAAGCTCATCCAGTATGCTCTCCTTTCCCTGCAGCCTTTCTGGGAGTGGGTGCTCTTGAAGGGTGATGTCTTACATGAACCATCTGGGGCTGCTTTCCAAGGGTGACAGCTCCCACATGCTAAAAATCTGGAGGGGAAGCAGTGTGTGAGAATATTTCCAGTGGGAGTCACCCTACACTGGTGGAGTCTGCCATGCACCCCTTGTGATAGGGTCCCATCAGGCCTGACGTGGCAGGTCCCTCTGTCATGTGCTCCTTATTTAGTGTGGGGGTCTTCAGCTCAGAGTGGCTGCTGGGTATGCCTCATCCCACTGACAGGGTGTTTGCAGCCTGGATTGATAGGAGGTGGGGTGTATCTGAAGGAGTACAGGGGTATTTTAGGCTGGGTTTAGTACTGGAGGACTCTCAGCTGTTGGGGATGGTCCCCCAAGTGAGCTGTCCCCCAAATGCAGCAAGGCCCTGCCCCAGAGTGGGGGAGTTGGAGTGAGGGAGGGTGCTGGGCTGCCTTCCAGCACTGTGTGAGCACACCAGGGACTGAATTCCCCCATCCTGGGCCTTGCCTTCCTATCTCTGCCTGACCCAGAGGCTTTTCCCTTCGTTTCTTCCAGGCTGATCTTGTCTTTGAGTAC